GGCCCTCCCCAGGTCCCCTCCCCGGTACCCCCCTCCCGCCCCGTGGCCCTTCAGCCCCACGTCCCAGACAGGGTGTCCCACCAGCCCGCTCTGTCCCCCGGCCCCAGGTGCCCCCCCCACCGAGGCCGGGGCCACCTTGAGGTGCCTTGCCTCCATGCTCCCTTTTGCTCCCAGATTCTTGCACCTGGGCTGCAATTTTTTCCCCCCTTCCCTTCATCTGTTGATGGAAACGATTTACAACCGGCTTACACGGGCCGCCTGATCCGGGCCTTCGCCGGACGGTCAGATTAACTGAGGGTCCTTCTGATAAAGATAATTACAAGGGGACTCCGCATTAACTTTGCATTATTAAAGAAAGACCCAAATCTCCCCTCGCAAGCTGTTCCCGGGATTAGCAGAACAATAACTTTCATTTAGGATAATTGCCGTGGCCAGCGCTGGGGGCTGGGGGGGGAACCCTCTGGGCCATCGCGCTTCGCACCGAGAAAGGCAAACGGGCGTGAGGGGAGCGGGAGCTGGGGGGGGTCACACTCCCAAAGCCACCAACTGGGGGTCCCCATGTGCTCGGGATGCAGGCATTAGGAATGCTTGGGGCATCCCCACCCAGGGCTGCCCCCCACCCAGGGACGGGGCACCCCAGGGTCCCCTTGGGCACCTTCGCTTCTCCTGAGTGGTTTTGCCGCAGTTTTGCTGGAATCGGAGACTTTCACTGCTGGGCAGGGAGGATCTGCCACAGTAATTAGAAGCCATAATCCGGCCACCACCCACAACAAATTTCCTGTCCGAGCAGATATTAGTGGATAAAACCCTAATTTTTGACGTTGTCCCAGAATCAGCTTGATTTCAGCAGTTTATGTTCGGGCTGAGCTGTTGGGAGAGATGATGAAGCCTTAAATATGCATATGGCCTAGGCATTTGGAAAGTTTGGGGATAAAGCGCGTATAATTGCTCCTAATCAGTTTATGAAACATAAAAGCTCAAACCCAAGAGAAAGCCGATAGATGCAGAAATGGAAATAGCGATTAAATCTCCCCGTGCTGGGGAGGTGGCCTGGATACGGCGCTGCTGCCCGGGGCGGAGGGCGGCCGTGGCGGTGCCGTGGGGGACGGGGCTGCGGGACAGGGTGGGGGACACGCACCTGCTGCCACCGCCGGCTCCCCTGGCCATGGTGGAGAGGGGCATCTCCACTGGTCCTTTGGACAATAAATCAGTTAAAGGATATCTTGATATATGCTCATCAGATAGGATTAGCTGGGATTAGACTAATCAGTAAATGTTTCTCTGCTCATTATTTTCCAGGGAAGATTTTCAGCTGATTCTCCGACGCCGAAAGATTATTAATCGCTTAAAGAGCAGAACATCAAACATCGCCCCTTGCTCTAATTTCCCTGGGGTTCCCCCCCCCCGCCGTGGGCAGGGCACCTGCGCCAGCCGGCCCGGCAGCCCCAGGGTGCCCCAGCACCCAGCCCCTCCACGAGGGCTCCGGCCAGGGCGGGCGGAGGCCGCAGCACCCCGGCCCCAGCGCAGACCCACGTCGTAGGGGTGGGTGCTGCCCGCAGCTGATGCTGGAGCACCCCCGTCCCCTGCACTCTGCTCCCCGCTGCACTTTGCAGGACTGCGAGGTGGGACAGTCCCCGAGGTGTCCCCTCCTCCCCGTGGCTGCTCCAGCACCACATCAGGCACCCACCGTACCCTGCAGCACCCTATGGGATGGCATCGTCAGGGCGCACAGGATGGGACGGGTGCCTGGGGCTGTCCCCTTTGGACACCAGGGACAAGCCTTGCAAGTCCTTGGGGGATTACAGATACGTTCAACATTTTGGCAGACCCTCCTCGGCCGATGATGGCTCCTGAGCCAGCGGACGGTGCGTTTTTGTCTTTGCGGGGACATGAAACTCAGGGAAACCCTGGAAGGATGTGCCCTCGCCTTACAACCACCTGCTGCAGCAATGAGGAGGGGGAAGCAAGGAGAAGGTATTGAAGGGCCTGGTTTAGGGGATTAGTAATGGGATAAGACAGCTTTCACCTCCCTGGTTTAGATATGAATCAGGTCAATAATAAAGGACCATCTGACAGTTTCAGGCAGCCCTGGGGGGAAGAGGCTCCCATGCTCCATGCTGGACAGAGAACCCCTCTCCGACAGCCCAGCTCCTGCCGCACACCCACCCGTCAGACCCGCACCGGCAGCCACAGCCCTGTGCTCCCCGCCTGCTCCACGCCACGCACCCACATCAGCTCCCGGCAACCCGGCACGGGAGCGAGGTTGGAGCCTGGTCCCCAGGGACGGTATCAAAGCCACAGCCCTCAGGTGCCCGCTCTACAGGGCAAGCTCAGCCAGCTGGCTGGTGGCCGTGGCGGACCTTGCATGGGTGTAAGGTGGCCCAGCAGTGGAGCGCAGCAGGGCGAGCAGCCAGCCGACGGCAACACAGGCAATTTGGCAAGGGTGGGAGCCTGGCGGGAAGGTCCCTGCCTTAGTAAGCACGGACAGAAGGAAAAGAACTTTTCTTCCACCTCCTCCATGTCCTGCTGGGAGCATGGGGAAGTGATGGCTGTTGTGAAAACGCTGCCTCTGACACACGGATGAAAAGGAACTGAGAAATAGCCCATCGCTAGGGGAGAAGGCAGCAGTGAGGCACGTCCGTATTTTGCAAGGCTGAATCCCCACCTCTGAGTTACAGGTGGGCTTCCTTCTTGCAATGGGACTTTTCTCAGGCTGCAGCCAGGGCTGAGTGGTGGGTTATGCGTGTGCTCCTGGCCAGTTAGGAGCAGGTATATGTCATGGCCAAATATCCTCCATTTTGGGGTGATGGATTTGCAGGGGCAGGCAGCATGGCCAGGTTAAATGAATGGGGAAATCTGTGCTCCCGGCACTGCTGGGCAGTGGAAAGCGCTTCTTTTTGAGTTTGAGTTTACGTGGGTGAAGCAAAGGGTTTGCACGGTAAGCACAGCCACAGCTGGCCGTGCACACCACCTGCTTAGCGCTGTAGCATCGCCAGCCGAACTTACCACAAGTGCCTCAGCAGCCCTAATTTGGCACCAGAGGGGGGGTCCCTTTCCAGGTCCCACTCTGCATGCCCCAGAGACATCCCTACTAATTCCTCTGCACAGATTTCTGTCTTAAGGCATTTGCCTTTGATTAAAACCAGAAGAGCAGTCACGGTTTAAGTGGAGTTTAAGAGCAAACCATGTGCCGATGCATAGGGCTCTCACATCTGGAGCGTCGCAGAATTAATCAAACTGCTGGGAAGTGCCGCACACAGACAGCTGTCACAGCAGCCTGGAGCCCATCTCCTAATTAATTCCTCGCCAAACACAGGGCAAACAAATGACCATCAAGGTGCTATACCTACAACCGCAACCAGAGGCATGACTGGCAATTGGTGAGCAAGTAGAGCTCACCCTGTGTATTTCCAGGTGCTATAGGTGACGTAGCCCATGGAAAGCCCTGTCCCTGCTCCTAGGGTGGAGACTGGGGCTTGTCCCAGAGGCGTAAACCTTTAGGTGACAAATGGGAATGTGAGGGGCAGGGTGTTTAGGAAGAAACCCAGGTGGAGCAGGCACAACAGCCGTAGCCCTGACTTCTGGCTGCTCCTTCGGCTGGTGCTTTTCGCTTCCACTCCATTTTGTTGTTTTCTAGTCCCGTTTACCTGCCCATCTCACGTCCCCGTCGGCAACTCCCTCCTGTCCTACACAGGGTGCGTGAGCCGGGACACAGCCCTCCCGGGGGATGCTCTGCCTGGTGGTACCCGGGGCCCTGTGCTGGCCGTAGCTCCTGGGCAAACTCCGCCCGCTTCCGCAGCCTTCTGCAAAATCTGGGCAACGGCAAAACAGAGCAGGCCCAGACTCGGTTCTCCTTGGTGCTCGTTCACAGCTCATTAAAGCTAATTGAAATGACTACTGGAGCTGGGTCTATGTGGGTGCTTGGAAGTCCTGGGCACACGGCACAGCTAGGCTGGGAATATCCAACTGTGAGGAGCCCCAAACTAGCCGATGGACTGTCCACTCCAATTAGCCCCACAAAGGAGCTATTATTCCTCCGCACTATGCTTGTCCGATTACTTTATCTTATTATTTTTTGATCATTCC